TCGTTTCCCCCAGTAGAAGCATTATCACTATCAGCTAGCTTGTTTTGTATAAATTGACCGAGATTTCCCTGCTAAATCAACCTTTCAATCTCTTCCCTAAGCTGCTTACACGCCTCAAAGGTGTGGCCACAACTTCGATGAAAATGACAGCATTGTTCTTGATTTTCTAAGTTAAGTTTTAGGGGGTGAGGCCACTTAATAGCTTGCTCATCTTTGATGGTCGTTAAGATGTTAGCACGTGAAATATTGAGTAGTGTATACTCTTTCTTGAGTCAATATTAAGTTTGTTGGCTCGCAAGTTGGATGAGGAGGTCAAGATTCTTCGATTATTCAGATTTTCTTCATCGTGAAGATTGATTATTGTCTCCGGAATTACTTTCACTTTCCCCAAAATTTCTCAAATTGCTCATTATGTGTTTTAATGGCCTTGTCTACAGTGATTTGGACCTCAACACGGTGGACACGTTCAGCATAAGAACGAACAGTCTTCTACATCAGTGATGAGTAGAAACACTGTAGACCCCACCTTAGTAACCCTGGATCTACTCCTAGAATTTGATGGGCTTTAGCAGAAAACCTATGGAAGTAGTCTTTGAGCGACTCTCCTTCATTTTGATAGTGATGAGTAGAAACACTGTAGACCCCACCTTAGTAGCGACTCTCCTTCATTTTGATGAAGTCCCGAGAGATGAGATGAATCCTTGATAATTTGTTGATTTGCTATGAAATTCTCCACAAACTGTCTGGCAAGCTCATTAAAAGTATTTACAGTGCCCTCCGCCATAGAGTAGAATCATGTTCGAGCTTGTCCCTTAAAAGTGACAGTGAACACCTGACACAAAAAGTGTGTTAGAGGCATGTTGAATGTGTATGATGGTTTAATAATGATCAATATGTTCATAGGGGTCAGTTATCCCTTCATAGGTGTTAATGTTCGGAAGCTTGAAGCCTACTGAGATGGGGTGGGGAGGATTCATGGATGTTATGGTGAGTGTGGAAGTGCTTCTTTTTCTCTAGGTGGAACTCTTCTCGAACGAGGTGTCATAGTTCGTTACGAATGATATCATCTTGAATGGCAACAAAATGTGGCAGTGCCAGGTGAGTTGCATGAGATGGGTAAGTGGAACTTATGGTGTCAAGGAGTTCAACATCATGACCTAGCAGGGGAAGTGTTCCTTCTTGGGGAGGGGGTTCGGTACGAGTTCCTCCGAGCAGTATGTTTCTCGTAGGTCGCGGATTTGATGGTAAATGAATTTCGTTCATCAATGCGGACAACAACTGTTAAGTCCCACGTAGAAGTTGTAGGATCTCCAGTTGAGACTCCTTCATTTTGTGCATTCGATGTCCCATAGAAGAACCAGAAACGCCCTTGTTGGCGAGATAACGTCTTCTAAGGCGGGAAAATGAAGAAGCATGTCGCCCTTGATGTCATCACTATTCTCTGAAACAATGGTGTTAGAGCAAGCTGCTCCATTATCCCAAATATTGTGTCTAGTGGCCATGTAACAAATCGAGCAAGTACTTTAGTGGTGGGATAGAGAAATTCCCACAAACGGTGTCAAACTAATGCGTGCTAGAAAATTCGTTGCGGTAGAGTAATGGATTATTGTCATAGCATTTCACGAGAATTTAGTACACACTCAGGTGAAATAAAAATAACCAGAGATGACACCATAAGTTTTTACGTGGAAGCCTCATAAAGGGAAAAACCACGGGGTTTGGTCTAGTTGCAGAAATTCACTATTAATTGATGATTACAGAAATTTCTTGTCTCATAGACGAAAAAAGATAATTATATATTTCAGATTACAACGTCGAAAAGACGTCTGGCTGGCGGTGATTGACAATGATTGATGGCGATCGATGGTCATTAGCTGTGGTCGATGACAGTTGACGGAGGTCAACGCGATTGGCGGTGGTCGATGAAGTTCGGCGGTGGTCAACGGAGGTTGACGATGATCGATAGTGGTTGATGATGGTTGTTGGTGGTTAACGGCTGTCGGCAGTGGTCAATGACTTTCGGCGTTGGTCGACGGAGGTCGGCGGTGGTCAATGGAGGTCAGCAGTGGTCGATGACAGTCAGTGGTGTTGCTGTACTTCAGCTCCTTCTCCAAGCCTCAAGTCTCTCTCTCAAGGCTCAAGCTCCCCCTCATGAGAGGGGTGGGACTATTTATAACGTTTTGGGTGCAATTAATGCAGGAATATGAATCATTTTGATCAGACGGACCAGTATTTATAACGTTTTGGGTGCAATTAATGCAGGAATGTGAATCATTTTGATCAGACGGACCAGAAAACTTTCTTCAATCATGTTTAATGGACATTTGAATGCCTTAAAATGTTAAAATTGAGCAATATTGGGCTCGTTAAATTCGTCTTATCGAAACGTTCGATTCGACTATAGGCTTGCTAGCTTCGGCATCCGTTTGATCTTCTAAATATTTTCAAAAATCTTTCAAATAATGTGGGCTTGATTTGACTTGGATTGAGCTAGTTTTTATATCATTGGGTTTATCTCATCGAGTCGGTCAGTTTGACCATAAGTTTACTGAAATTGCAGTTCTGTATGACGTTTAATTGAAGTTTGAATATTTTTTGTTCAAAAGATTGCATCGAGATTCGAGTTGAATGAAGAAAATTTGTTGGTGGCATATTAGTTGTCCTTCTATTTTCAAGCGAGACCATTTTTATCATCCAAAAATATCAAAATTTGGAGCATTTTTGTTGTGTGTGTGTGTGTGTGTGTGTTACTTTATTACTAGTAGTATAAGAATATTTTTTATCCTTAGATATTTAGGAAGTTGAGCTTAGCTCAGTTGACAAGTTTCTTTACTTTATGATGGAATGGTAGGGTTCGAATACTATTGAAAACAGAAAAACAAATTTTCTATCTT